CAAAGGGTCCGTCTCGGAACAACTTTTATAGTTCGTTTTAGATTAACATTTGAACACGCTAAAGCCAGAACCTATAGCTTTAGATTAACGCTTTAAAATGCTAAAGCTGAACGGTAAGTAATGCCAAATTGAATTACTTTTAATTAAGCAGATCATTTTGAACTTCCAAGGAACCATTCAGAGAATCTAATGCTTAAAGGTTAGATGATATTCTGTCCAAAATGCAAACTTTTCAGCTGCAATGAAAGAAATAAATTATTCTAAATAAATAATGATTTAAAGGATCAAAGAGGCAACGAGAAACGGACATGGTCAATCTGCTTGGTTGCAGGGGTGACCTTGCCGTGGACGGCGGCGATGAGATCATCGTAGTAGCTATCGGGGACAGTGGACTTCTTCTTGGCGGCGCCGGAGAGGGAGAACCAGACGGTGGGTCGGAGGGCGGGAGGAATGCCCTTGCGGATGAGGCGCTTGAGGGCGATGGCGTTTCCGAGGGCGGAGAGCTTGAGCTTGGCGGCGGAGACACGGGTCTCCAGGTACCAGGTGGGGCCCTTGCTGGCCTCGAATGCCCACCAGACCTTGCTCTTCTTCCTCGCCTTCTCCGCCACCTCGTTCAGCACATTCACGTCGTCCACATTCCCCTCCACCGCGAATCCGTACAGATCCTGGAACTTCACCGTCAAATTCGCCCGCCGCGCGTGGATGCTCGGCCGCAGAATCTGCACCTGCGATTGGTACTCCGCCGCTAAATCTTTCTTGCTCTGCGTGTGACCTGCACACCCATACATTTCTTTGATGGTTTTCAGATCAAGAAACAGAGTCCCTTGTTTCAACGTTCCATTTTCAAAAAAGGAAAAGATGATGATGAAGAAAGGAAATTAAAAAAAACAAAAACAAAAACAGTCTCTGCAAAAATTTGTCGGGCTGATTGCTTTGAATCGATTGGTCTTTTTCTCGGACCAAAAGAAAACGAGACAAAAATCGAAGAAAAAGGCCGCCAAGATTAGCGATTGATGACCACGTTGGCTCTACCATTCTAGGAAGTATTTTACTGTTTGTTGGGCCAAAAAAAATCTTTCTTTGTCAATTACTCCATCTATTTAAGAATTACTCCGTAATTTTATTAGTTATTTTTCTACATTCTACACATTTTAAAGAGTAAAAAACAATATAAAATGTCAACTTTATTTGTAATGATAGTGGATGGAGTATATTTTCTGTCTCATATCTTTTTTCTCAGATCATTTAATTTTTACAGTCTCTAAAGTAATATTTTGACCATTATATCTTTATTTTTATGTACTTATAGGTTATAAAAATATAATGTTTCAAAATTATGTGTCAAAATGAATCTATTGATATTAAATTTATTTCATAAATCGACATATTTTTAACATAATTCTTCTTCTTCTAGAAAAAGAGTCTCAACGCTAGAGCCTAGAGGATGGTGAATAGCCTTTAAAACGAAAATCAAGACCGTCGGAATTTAAAAAATTAAAAGCGTGCAGAGTAAAAGCGTAAGAAGAACTCACCCTTCCAAAACACTCATAAGAGATTCCCATAATTGAGGAAAGATACATGGCATAGCCGGGATCCAAGAAATGGACAAAGAATGTTAAGGATCTTTAATTTAGTCAAATAGGCGCCTGCGATAGCCTTCTCTTCTTCTTCTTTGACATCACTAGCTACAAGTGTACATCAGATTTCTCTCTTCTTCTTCAACGTTAGTCTATATATACCAAAACACGTTAGACATCTTTCTTTTCATGGTTTCTAGTTCCCAGCTAGTGTCCAAGTTTTCTCTTGCTTCACTCAAACCCACTTTGAGTGAGATGTCAGATAATACTAATAATGCTCCCTCTGTCCCTCAAAATTTTCATTCTTTCTTTTTTCATTCATCCCAAAAAACTTTTACTATTTTCATTAAAAAGTTACCCCTAGCTAGTAATTCTTAATCTATCTATCACATCAAACTTTTTCATTATTAATTACTCATCATATCCTACTTTTACACATCACATCTAATGACATTTTTGGAAATTCAATACCAAATTACAGTCTACTTAATTTCTATAAAAGTTAAAAGCAGAAAGGTTTTGTGAGATGAAAGGAGTATTTTTAATTATGACAGTGTTTTCTCTCTCTCTCTCTTCCCATGCCTTCTACTCCCTCCGTCCGGATTTCAAGTTCCCATTCTACACTTTTCTCCGTCCGGATTTTAAGTTCCCATTATACGTTTTCATTCCCATTCTTCCTAAAATACCCTTCTCTCCTTCTTTCTTCTTCCTTTTCTCTTTCTCCCTTCATTTTCAGTTCCCCATCCCTGATCTCTATTTCTTTCTTTCTTTCTCGGATCTGTCGGATCTGCACTGCCTTTTAATTCTCATCCTCTTCGATCCCCAAGACCCCAACTCTTTCTCCTCCTCTTCCTTTTGTCTTCTTCTTCTTCTTCTTCTTCTTCTTCTTCTTCTTCTTCTCAAAATCTCTTCCGATCCGTAGATCTGCTCTTCTTCTTCCTCTTTCTTTGGCCACCTCCTTCTTCTTCTTCTTCTTCTTCTTCTTATTCTTCTTCTTCTTCTTCTTCTTCTTTAGTCAAAATCTCATCCGATCCGTAGATCTGCTCTTCTTCTTCCTCTTTCTTTGGCCACCTTCTTCTTCTTCTTCTTCTTTAGTCAAAATCTTTAGTCGGAGCGGCTGACGGTGGCGGCAAGGTGTTATGGATAATAGAGTATGATATTTAGTATTATTATTATTATTAATGTAATTTAGGTTTTATTAGGTGAGCGGAATTATAAGCTCCTTCGAGGTTTCTTTACGGTTCTTTCCCTCGTCGCTTTTATTGAACCGTCAGGTTAGCGTTAGGGTTTCCTTCTTTCCTATATAAGGAGATGTAATAGAAATCACTCCTAATAGGACTAAAACATTGTGTTTATCCCTAAAATAGGAGTTCATGTTTTTTATCCCCCAACTAGGACCTCTCCCGCCATATTCTTTCTTTCTCTCCCGATTTTGCCCTCCTTTTTCTTTCCGCGTCACACTTCACAATCCTGCCCCGTCTACATTACAACTCTTTGTAATACACATTACCACATTACATACTATGACACTTTACATTACAATGGTTCGTAATATTCATCACCACATTACAGATTATGACACTGGTAATATCCACATTACATACTTTACTGGACTATCATGAATTTTTTAAATTGCATATTAACCATTGAATATTTTTATTTTTGTGTTATGCATTTAAATCCAACATGTCCACAAGACAAATGATGAGACCATATGATACAACAA